AATTAGTTGTTTAAGGTTAAGTACTATTTGTCTTACTAGTTCTTAATTACCTTTACTTTGTTTTTACTTATGTCTATCTAGTTGGTAAGTTAGGTCGAGATGTGTATATATATATATATATATATATATAGGTTTATAGATTATGTAATTTTGACAACACTGTTTATTGTATGGATTTTTTTTTTAATTCAATGACTAAAATTATTTATTACTGGTTTTAAAGTTTTCTTTGTCAAGCACTCGCTCGCTGACACCGTGTTTTTGGTGCTAACATTTGCTCATTCATCTCTGTAAAATGGCAAAGGAATATTTAGTGATCATGGCAGTCTTATAGCTGATTTACAACTAGTAGGAGTAAAGTTGCCTTGAAATAAATAGTGCAAACTCTGCATGTATTAGTACCTTGGATGTTTTTCATTTTTTGTTTGGTATACAATAATTTATATATTTGCAACTGCGACTTTGCACTAGGATACTTCCATGACTGGGAACTTTAATTCTCCGGAATCCTCTACTATTAGCTTTACTTGGTTTTTATTTTTATGTTAAGTGTTTACATTAGATAGTTAAATTCATACCTAATTAAAGTAATAGTACTTGATAGTCACGTTTGCAACTACAATCATTGCATTGTTGACACAATGACAATGAGCAGGAATTTGATGAAGTTGAAATTTTAAAAATTAAAGTGATTAGTTCGACACTTATGTGTAGAAAAGTTAATCATCACTTGTGAACTAACTGCATCATATTATGTCAGATGAATAACCTGTTTTTTTATTATGATTTATTAAAAATAATGCAAACTATCGTATTAATATTTTGATTTGTATTTCAGAAAAAACTTAAACATTAAAAATCTGGTTTTTTAAAATGAAGTATAGAAGTTTATAAGAACAAGTGAATATTGTGTTGTTCCCTGGTGGGACAGTGATAAGTTTATGGATGTACAATGCTAAAATATAAGGTTCAATTCCCCCACAGTGGACATAGCAGATAGTCCAATGTAGCTTTGCTGTAAAAAGAAAACAGTCTGTTATGTTACATAATAAGGAAGTAAGATCTCATCTCACTTCCTTACAAACAAAAGTTTGGATTGCTCAGTATTATCAAGAACAAGGTTTTTGTGCTTAGGTCTTCAGGTTTTATGTTAATGATTATGAATGCAAGATAGACTGGACATGAATTTGTGCTTTGACACAATGAAATAACTTCAAGTTATCTTGTAAACTGGATAGGAATAGTTACTCACACGTGCTCACACAGTATTTGTAATCTTATTTTCTGTTAATTTACTTATCTATAATTTTCGGATACTAATATTTATCTGACAAAAATAGAAATGAAAAGATATTGGTAGCTTGGATGACAGAATATAGGAAATGGTACATGTGGAATTCCATTCTGGTAAAGTTTTGCAGACAAGTATCTTCCAAAGTTTAGTTGACATTTCATATCTGAAATTAAGGATTAAAAGGCATTCAAGTACCATAGACATAATGAGTGTTCCTAGTATTATGGTAGAGTTAGTCAAGAAACATAGTTTAAAAAAATCATAAAAAAATGCATTTTGAGCTAATTGGTATTTTGTTTTTGTTTGCAACTACAAGTAAAATAGCAAAGGGGCATTCTTCACTGTATGACACATGGGGGAGAGGGGTTGAAGCCCAAAAGTTTGTAACAATAAGTGTATGGGAGGGACCCTTACCCACTCCAAACAAAGGCAACACAGGAATAGCTTGTAGATTGTAGTTCAGGTGCATGAAATTAAATGCTGCAAGTAGAGGAACTTAGCAGGTTAAATCAGATTCATAGTCTACACACAAAATGTTTAGTACGGTCCATTCAGAAGGTTGTTTCATACATGTAGTTTATTATTATTTTTGGTATGCTAATCACGATATCTCTTCCACACCACTTAGTGTAAAAAAATTGTACTTTAAACAATGTAATGATCAAAAACTTACTTTTCCAGAAGCAACTTATACAAGTTACATCTGAGATTAGAACATAACATAATGTTTAGGGACAAAAAGGGACCTGTTGGATCCATTTAGGTTGTCTCATCCTCTAAACTAAAACTATTAAATAAATTAATTTAAAAAATAAAAATCTTAAAGCCAGCCCTTATCAGTCATATAGTTATCAAGCTCTAACTTAAACTCAGATAAATTTACTGGAGAATTAAAACCTTTGTGTCCTCTACAGAAAAAGGAAGAAACATTGCTATTGATTCTAGTGCTACAAATATTTAACTGTTCTGTTAGTATTGTATATATAAAAATACCCCGTTTCATTTACTGAATTGAGTAGGAAATGACTGCAAAGAACCAAAGTGGGTCTAATGTTAATCATTTTTGGCTATTATACACCTGTAGATGACAATACTCAGTGAAACGAGAATTCACATTGCATTTATATTACATCTAGTATTTAGCCATTAGCTCCTGTGTTTTCAGTTACTTTTCATGTGATTCAATTAAACAAAATTTAAATATTGACATTACCAAAGTATAGACATAAATTAGTTCAAAATTTGGGCTGTGGATCTAAATTTTTAAAACTTGCTTGCTTGGTACACTGTCTCAACTCTAAATCTGGTATGATATATAGGATGTTTCAACTTACTAGCACTGAAATACTTTAGCACTAAAGAAACAAATTGCTTCCAATTTATACCATTATTTTTCAGTTTGTAAAAGTAGTATGATAGCAGTTTTTGATAAGTATGTTGGTAAAAACAATCATGCAGAACCTTTTATAATGTAATCAGACAGTGTAAGAATATGAAATAATACATATTACCGAGTCTAAAAGTATATCAGTAATTGAAAATATATATTGGTTAAATAAATTTATTAAAAAGTGATGCTACTGACCACTGGTCATTAATCTCAAGAGCCTGCCAATATTGAATGTGTTAGTGGAAATTATGGATTTTAGAGTTGAACAAATATACTGCTTTTTTTTTCTGAAATTTAAGTTGTGTTCTGTATGATGTAACAATCTTTCACCTTAACTTTTCAAGGCATTAACGGATGGCTAGTTTGCTAGCAGTAATTTCAAGTTGTGAAGATAAGTTGTCAATAAGTTTGGTATCAAATTGTAGACTATAAATCAATTTTTAGTGTTATACATTATTTAGTTTCTTAGTTTAAAAGTAAATATTAAAAAAATGCAATTAAACGTGGATTTTTGTGCATCACATGGTATGTTTAATGCAGCACTGGTTCAAATTAGATGTTTATGATGTGAAAATACTAAGTCTGTAGTTTTGTACGAATTAGGAACTAAAATTACCTATATTGTGATTTATGATTTTTTGTTTATTCAACTGTGTGTGTATGTATATATAATTGTGTGCTTTACTTCTTTATTTACTGTTCTATGTTTTAAGAAATATAAGTTTAAGAACTTAATTCTAAATAGTAATAATCTATATACATATATATATAATGTATAACAATTGAAATGTGATTGTATTTCTTAAAATACTAGTTACTAAAACACAGCCAAGACAGGTCACTTTTTAAAGACTAAGGGTTAGTTTAATATTATTGGATACGGTAACATGAGAGCACGTGTGCTGCATCATTGTAACTTCTCTATTGTTAGCCAGGCACAGCTGAAAGGTCAATATAATAAATATATATAAGTGTATAATGTTATGAGATTTAAAGCTATTTAGTCTCAACATTTGTTTTTGTGTTATAATTGTCATTCTAGAATGAAAGAGGCATAATTGATGTTTATTTCATAACTTTTTATGATGGTTACCATATCGGTCAAATCTACCAAATCAGTATAGATCCATTGGTGAAAATTACAGATGATATATATTGTTTTTGTTAAGAAACATTTGATAACTATCTGGAAATTATAAAGATTTCGCATGTGAAACTTGAAAGTTTTCTTATGCATAAAAGTATTTTTAATCTTAAAATAAAAATTACTTTGCATGTTGGATAGGCAACATGTGAAAAGAAAAGAAAAAAGCATGATAAAAACATTGCTTAACAAACCTTAAGACTTAATAAAGAAATCTGATATTTTATGTGTGAAAGCATTGTAATATTTACTGATAATCTGCCAAATTTCCTAAACATACGCTTACTAATTTAAAAGTTATAACATAACTATGACAAGCACAAAATGGTTATGAGTTCAGTCCCAGGGACTGAGCCTGCGCTGAAAGAGTTAATGTGTACAAGTCCATTTTGTTTTCTATTTTAGCCCATTTAGAACATGAGTTGCATTGAACAAAGTAGCTCTTGACATAAAAATCTTGTCCATTATCTAGTTAAAAAGTTATCACTGGATAACTTGGTTGTTTAACAAGTTATGTTAATTATAACGTATCATATGTGAATGAAAAATTTGTCAAAAACGTTTTTTTTTCTTTTTGAAAGGAAATGTCCAAAATGGAAAACTTTCTGGTTTCTGCTGTTATGAACATTTTTCTTTGACAGGCCACAGTGTAGATTAGAACAATGTTAAAATTCTTGATACTGCTTCTAGTTTTAACATGCAAGGTTTTTATGAAGAGTTCTTATACTATTAGCCCTAATGAAGCTGCAATGGTGAAATTTTGGCTGAAAATTTTTTTATAGTATTCTGGACAGTAAATATTTTTTTCTTTTCAAAATTTATTGCAGAATGTCAATGTTTGAGTTACTCGAAACAAAAATATATACTCATCTATCATTAGTGTAATATAAAGTGAGTTTCAATATACTGGGGATGGTTGGTTTAATTCAGGGTGTTACTACAAAAAGAAACACAAATAAGTTCGTCCCTCTCTCTTTTTATATATATATATATATATATGCATTTTTATTTTCTAATAGTACTTCACCATTTGAAGACTAAGCTGTTAATTCTTCTATTGTAGAAATTTTTATTGTAAAAGAAATACTGTTCAATAATTTTTTAACTGTTATACCAGTTTGAACCATTTTAATCTGTCTTTGTTGCTTAATACACATACAAATGCTTCATTTCTGTACTTTAATGATCATATTTCCAGCTAACAGTCTAGATAACCATGGAATTATTTAAGTTGTTTTTTCAATTGAACAATGTTACTTCTCTATATATAGCATACCCATTTATAACTTTCAAAAAATATATTTCACAAAAACATATTTTTGTGCAATTTAGGCCTATTTGAGTAAAAAATTTCAAAAAAAGAATTTCTCATTGTATCTGTAAAATGCGGGCAATAAAGGTTTAAATGTATTGACTCAAGAAATGAATAACTTTATGTAGAAATGATGTTGGTTCATGAAAAAATGGCTGTCATTACCTTGCATTTAACATTACCAGGTTTGACCTACTGTATATAAGTTTGTGGTTTGTGTGTGTGTTAAAATACTTTAGTATTATTAGTTATTTACTGGATTAGACATATTTTTAAGGTTATTTTGAATGATTTTTTTTTTACTAATAGATAAGTACACCTATATACTTGACTGTTTTAGGTGACACTATTATCAGTTCTGTACACCAGCTGTTAAAATAAGTTCCTGAAAATATAAATGTACGTCAGTAATATTATATATTATGAAATATTTGACTGATTACGAAGTTTTAATTATATTGACTGTTTTTAAACATATCTTAGTTAGATAACGAATGGAAGAAAATGCTTTTCCATGAGAGGCTTTAAAAGGATTCAAAACCCCCTGTTTATTAACTTTAAAAAAAAATCATTGTTTATATGAATTAATAAAAATGGTAACAACAGAATGGTTTGAGCTAAGAAACAAATTTTAAAATAATTCATTCATAAGAAGAAGTGTAGCCCCAAGTGGTAAGTTTTAAGGGCTCACATCACTTAAAAACCTGCTTTTAATGTTAAAATAAATATATTGTTGGATAGGAGCAACCTTCTAAAACCTTGATAAGTTTCCTGTTTAGACAACTTGCAATCTAAGTAACATTTTATAATAAAGGAATTATAAAACATAATGTTAATAAACAAAATTTCTTGATAACAATGTTACAGTTCTGTTAAATTCACTGAAGCTTATTTAATCAGTATAAGGGAACAATTTACTGCCAAAACACTTGCACACTGTATGTGTTCCACACAAAAGGATTTCATTTTGCATTTATATCTAGTTTTATGCAAAGATGTACTTTTTTATTTGATACAGTAAATACATAGAACATTTCAAAAACAGTCCATATAATTTTTTATATACCTAGTAGCATACATTTTTAACAACACCTGTGATTTCCAAATAAAATTATACTTATGATGTCAATAAAAATAGTTAAGTATAATTTTGTTCAGTGACAAAAACTGTATAAACAATTGAAAATAAGTGATGAAATGGTAAAATTATGAATTTAGAAGCAGTTAAAAGATGCTGTAATAATATTTGAATCCTTGTATAGGTTTTCAGTGGGAAAGCTACAAGATATACAATTTTCCTTTTTTTTTTTTCTAATAAATGCAAAGAATATGTTTATTATTATTATTTAGATTTGATATACAATTAAAACATCAGAATGTTTTCTTTGGTAAGGGTAATATGATAAATGCAATTTTTCTCTGATAGTCTTAAGTTTAGCTATTTGCAAAGTACTTCAACTGAAATGTAGGGATTTTTAACTAAAAGTAAGAAGCATTTAAAGGTTTATGAAGATAATATTTAGGGCTAAAAATTAATTTTTGTTCAATAAATTCTTTATGAATTTTCTTTCTGAACTATACAGCTTAGTTTATTGCTTAATGTGTTCATCAGTAATTGATCAACAGAATTTATCATGTTCGTTTACTTATGAATTATTGTGAAGGTTTGATATTCAAAAGACCAACTTTGAAGATGTTTGTGAAACTACTGGATTTGAATAATAGTGCAGTAACTCAGTTTGGATTTCTAGTTTCTGAACTTGAAGCATGTTTTTCATATTCTGGGGGAATAATTTTTTGTTGTTTTATTGTGATATCATGCATATTTTAAATTTAAAAAATGTGTATAATTTTAACAATAGGGCTGTAATAGAGAGAAAATCTTCATTTGTCTTTACAAAGACAAGAATTCTGTCTCTTTTGTATTGTAAATCTGTGTATCAAAACTTTGTTATGTATTAAACTATTACCTAGCTATCCAACACCAAAGCAACTTCACCTATGTGGAGTATGTTGTTGCTATCCTGGTCTTATTTATTTCAGATGAAAGAGATATAGTACGTCACTAGTATTAAGACTAACGTTTGTTTTATATTTTGAAATCTGCTTCTCAAAGTAATAAATAGTATGTGTTTATTTGACAGGCATGAAATCCTGATGTCAACATGGAGAGTATATCCATTGGTGTTGGTCATATAGACTTGACCAGTCCTCAGATTATTTAAAAATTGAAATGAGCCAAGTGTAATAACTACTTACAAGTTTTATAGAGATTCTTTAATATCCACAATTATATACATATCTGCTTATTTATTCAGTAACTATTTAAAATAAATAGCAGTACCACAGAATTGCTCTTAATGAAAACTGAAATGCCAGTGTTTTTAAATTCTTAAATTTAGCTTATGGTTATATGTTTCATCTAATAAAAAAAATATTTAATCTGAAATGATGTATAAGTAGTCAGGAAAAAAATATATAAATACTAAATTTTAGTTTATATAATAAATATAAAAAGTTAATCATTTTTGTCTTTGAAAAGGCTAGGATTGATTTTGTAGGAATGTAAAAACTTGTTTTTGGTGAAACAGCTCCTGTTAATTTGAACTAATTCTATAAATCAGAATTTAAAAAGTAACAACTTAATGATGCTGATTCAATATAACAAACTGACAAGAAATTCAAAGTGATGCACATTATTAGTAAAGAAAAATAAACCCCAGATTAAAGTCCATTGGTTGGATAACCTCACAATTAATGATATACTTCAGTTAAACCTAGTATCTCACAAGGGTTATCCAGCTTAGGAGATTGTCTAGTTCTAAAACCATATAAGCTAAAAATACAAGATAAACTTCCCAAACGTAAAAATTAATATAATTGATACTTGAAACCATTGGTATCTGGTGAAACTCCATGATTACAGAATTGAGGAAAACAAGAAAATTGATTGTTTCATAAATACATCATTTATTACAGCCACGGTTTTGCCATTAAAGGTACCTGATGATGCCTATACTGGCAAAACCTTGGTCATAATAAATGATGTACTTGTGAAACGTACAATTGTCTTGTTTTCCTCGATTCTGTGAAAATTAATATTGATAATAATCAGAATTATTTAGAATTTGTAACCAGTATTATTAATTTAACCAACTATAAAGAAAAAATATATAGTATGTAATTATATTAAAATATAGTAACTGATAATATTAACTTATATAATTAATAAATTATTGTGTATTCATGATAGCTTTAAGGAGGTTGTGGTATGTAAAGTTTCTAATATTATAAGTGGAAATAACAATGAATGCACTACAAAACTGAGTAAACTTGGTGGTCGAAATGTGAATTTATGAGTGACAATCTAAGAAAATATACAATGTTGAACAATTTCTACTGTACTAACTAAGCTGTGAGGGGAGAAAAACATTGTTACTAGCAGTTACATATTGAATACATAAACTGTTGTAAATTTTATTCAGGATCAAGCAAAAATATAGGTGCAGTGGAACTTACTAAAGAAAACATTTAGTTATAAGTATTCTTCAAACAACAAAATAGTGCGTGCGTGTACCTTTATTTTGTTAAAATTTGGCTAAATTTTTATTTACTTAATTTAGTTGTGCTACATTAAAACTATTAGGAGATTGCACATACACATGAACACTGAATTTGTTCTAATAGCATGTGCATTCTAGTACAGCTGGCCTTAACTTGCAAATACTGTTACGTATGTATTGGTATATCTATATATAAATATATGTATGTATGTAAACATCACTGTGTAGCTGTAACCAAATATTTATATTTCAAATGCTTAATTTTAACTATTTGCTGCTTTCTTACAGCATTACTGAGCAACAAACAGTGTGCGCCACAGTTGAAGTGCAGCAGTAGCTACCCCGTGCTTATCCAGGCATAGAGCTGAGTTCTTAAAGGAAGCATCGTGAACATTGTTTTTGAAACTTGCCCTTTTGTATTTTTGAAAATAATCAGAATGGCTGAAAGTGAGGGTAGAAATGAAAATGATAATAACTCTGGCAAAAATGATGGTAACGATATTTGTCGTGATTTTCTGCGCAATTTATGCAGGCGCGGATCAAACTGCAAATACAGGCACCCAGAACCCCAAAAAGAAAGCCAAGAAGATGGAAGCAAGGATATTAAATTCTGTCATGATTTCCAAAATAAAGGTTGTCGTCGAGCAAACTGCAAATTCATGCATTGCACTAAGAGGGAAGAAGAATACTACCTAAGTACAGGCAAGTTACCAAGGCATGTGCAAGAAGCTTTGGGGGAAAAAATTGACGTTCCTGTTTGCAAAGACTTCTTGAGGGGCTTTTGTAAGCGAGGAATTTATTGTAAGTTTAGACACTTAACAGTACAGGAGTACGAAATGGAAATGGGTGGGAAGAGAGGGCCATCTTTCATGGGAGAACCAGATTTTAATCAGTTTGATGATTTTGAATTTCAGCCTAAACATAAACGACCAGCTTTTGACGATGGTTTTGGTCCAGTTGATGGACCGGGGGTGCTGCTGCCCACTCCTGGTCCTGACCGAATGCCATCAACTTCCATGCCTGATATTCAAATGTTGGAAGGGGAAAATGCAATTCTTCGGCGTAAAGTAGAGGAACTGAAAAAACAAGTTGCAGAATTAACCTCAACCGTTGAGTACCTGTTAGAACAAAATGCACAGCTGCGCGCAAGCAAGCAGTCAAGTATGCCCCCACCTACACCTAACCCGCCTCCTAAATCCCGCTCATTATATCCAGGTGGTGGACTTGGCAGTGTCCGACCTTGGTAACTTCTAAATATATTAAAACTCGGCAAGAAATATTGTAAGTTTAAGGTTTTAAAGCTGTTTTCTTTCTTAATCATACTGTACACACTGTAATGGGGATGATTCATCACTGTAATTAGTAGTACATGTCTTTTTTCTTTTTTTTTTCTTACCCCAATTTTGATATTTTCACATATACCCATTGAATTGTAACAGTGATTGTACAAATATGGTATTACTATGTGCACCAGGTTTTCACAGATCACTGCTTAAAAACCCCATTTAAATCGTAAATGGCCCTGTTAATTATTTGACAAGCAAAGACTTGACTGTTGATTGGATTTAAATTTTATTTGATTAATGTAAATTAATTTGAAGATGATTAATGTTTTACTTTTCTTATGAATTTCACCCATGGATAATTTTGATTTATTGCAGTTTAGATATGCAAGCAGTATAAAGTAATTTGTATTTTCAGTAATTGTAATCATATTTAAGTTTGTTTTTTTGTCAAGACTTAGAGATTAGAATAGAATTCCTGTAATGACTCAAACAGTGTGATTTTCTGCATTGTTTTTTTATTCATTTTAGCACATAAATAATAGTTCTTTATACATAAACATGTTTCATAAAGTATTGGAGTATTCCTTAAAGACTTTATGCCTTCTAATCACATTAAAATAAAAGTTGTATGTTTACTAAATAGATGAGCAAATTATATTTGTGATGTTTTTCTGAACACTAGATATAGTAATTGAAGAATTTTGTTTTCATGGAATGTGTATGATGTGTACAAGGTTTGTGCTATATTTGAAAACAACTATTTGACCAGAAATATCACAGTCTGTAGCGCTGTCATACTATTATCAATAAACATGGATGTTTCTGAATGTCAGAGTTACTTATTCAGCATTTCAGAAGAGCTGTGCATTGGGTGTTTTGTACAAATTAGTTAGGAAAGCTTGGAAAAGTCAGTGAATTTTAGGTGATTCAATGTGATTATTAGCCCAAAAAAATCATATGGTTAATTATGATGCATTTAGTACATCTATATACATATTTTATGCATAATTGCTGTTTTATCTATAAAGATCTTGCTTACCATTGATTGTCTTGGAGTGTGAAGACAGCTGTAACAGACACATAAACAATAGCTAGGTTCCCACCTAAATGTAGTGTTAGGGCTGTAAGAAAAACTGTCTTGCCTCCTGACACTAGGTCAGTTTTGGAATGAAGTCCAATCAAAAAAAAAATGTACATCGAATATTTCATTGACACTGATTCATTTTACTACAGCATAAAAGGTCTAACAAATTACTGTTTAGAGAGAGAGCGGTTGTTTCCATTAGCCTTCTTGGTGCTACCATTGTATGAGATACGGTAGTCAGTGAATTCATATTGGTGCTCTGTCTAGTTACCATGCCAATATGCAAAGAGTGTTTGGGAAAATAGACCTGCATATTACACAGTGATACCATTCTCACTGATTACTGTTATTTTGATCTTACAAACTTTAATACATTGATAAGACAGTCCTTATGTTAGTTGTAATAAAAGGAACATGTAATACCCTGGATTTGTTATGTGATTGTTATATAAAAGTAGAGAAGATTTGAAAAATGTAAATGAACGAATTGAGTATTTCAGTAAAGCCTGACAGTTCAAAGATAGATTATACAGTTTTGATGAGTTGTTATTTCATACTTGTATTTATATTTATTCAATTAATTATTAAAAATAAAACTAAAATAATCATAAAATTATAACTTATATTTATCAGTAATGTTATTTTAATTCTTTATAAAACAAAATATAAGTATTGCCTATAGCACACAATGTCGTGATGCATAGTACAGCTTGGGCTATGGTTATTGATAGGTGATATCTTCAAGAGATAGGTAAAATATTACCAGTGACAGTTAAAGAAAAGCCTGTATAAAGTGGAATATGGATGACAATGCATAATATCAGTAGCAGAGGTCAGTTTCAGAAAGAAGTCCAATTAAAAAAATAATGCAGTGTTGAATGTTTCATTAACAGTGACACATAAGTGTTTCCAAGACTATGGCACTATTTGCTATTCATAAGTTGAAGAAACGTTTGAAATTTCACCAGTGAATAACTGAATACATTCTGTTTACCTAATAATTATAATTTAATGAATTGCATTCCTGAGTAATGTATTACAAAAATTTACTGTTTGCAGTGCTATCAACACCTTGTCAAATGTATTCTGAAAATCCAGATATATCAAGTCCACACCCTTTATCTTCATCCACATAAGCAGTAACTTCATTAAAATATACATGAGGCAAAATGTTCCCCTAGTTAAACTATGACAACTATCTAATAAAACCTTAAACTTTGTTAAATGCTTTAGCAAAGCAACTTTTTTTTTTATCAGACTCAAAAAAAGTTCTCACTTCTGATGTAAGTCTTACAGGCCCTAGACAATTTTTATCACCTCCCTTAAGAAGGTGAGTAGCAATAGCCAACTTTCAATCCACTGTCACCTGTCCAATACTCAAGGACTTAAAAAAATATATTAGGAAGTGGCTCATATATCCAATCCTTAACATCTTTCAAATTGCAGGAGACTTCATTTTTTAAACTACTGAATTTTTTTCTTTACAAGCTCTAAATTAAAGTGTTTGTTAGTTACATTTTCCTCTAGCAACTGTTTAGGACAAGGAATACTGTTTAAATTTGTAGAAAAGGTAAAATCTAGTAAACCTGCTATATGATAGCCATCAATAATAAGACTTCCAATACCGCCCCTCAAAAGCTATACGGCCTGGCATGGCCAGGTGGTTGGGCCACTCGACTCGCAATCTGGGGGTTGCGGGTTTGATTCCTCGTCACACTAGACATGCTCGCCCTTTCACCTGTGGGGGTGTTGTAATGTGACGGGTGGTGATGACTAGCTGCCTCCCCTTTAGTCTTACACTGCTAAATTAGGGACGGCTAGCGCACATAGCCCTTGTGTAGCTTTGCATGAAATTGAAAACAAACAAACAAAAGCTATACTCCCATCCTAACATTTTGCTTACACTTAATATATTTAAAGATATCTTTACTGTTAACTGTTTTACAGTTTCTGCCAATCTTTATTCATATTCCTTTTTTGATTGTGTATTGTCCCATTTGACTATACTCCTCACTACAGTCATTTTAAACTTGTAGTACTTTAATTTTATCCCTTATACTCTAAATGAGCCAATATGGTATTTTACTCTCTTTTTTTTTTTTCCTCTTTAAAGGAACATGTGTATCTTAAATATTTAAGATTTATTTTGCTAAATTTTCCATATCTTATCAGAAGCCAAATTGGCAGTAGAGAATTCTTGATTACCCTATTCTGTAAAACATCAAACCTAATTAAGTAATGACAACTCATACCAAGATGTACCCACTTTCTGAACAGTTTCCTTATTATAATGTGACAATAGATATAAAATAGCATCATTGCTAGAGGATCCCTGTACAGCTGAAGAAAACAAACCTGAACCTTATAATTTGGTTCAAAAATCTCCTAATCAATATGCCTGTAGTTAGAATCCCTCAAAATTATATGTAAGTAGCTGTGATCTCAATCTTACTGTAAAGTTTTTCATTAATTTCATCCATCTTCTTTATTGGTCTGTAACAAATTCTAAGTAAAAGCCTTGTACACTTATATCCACTAACAGATTTAATTGATTCAAACTCTTTGATATCCTCAACTTCAACAGGATATAATTTACACCTTACATATAAACTATAAAGCAAATCCTCTCTTTTCAGTACTCTATACCTTTTAACTTATAACATTAAGGACAACGAATGACCTTGTGGTCCATCTAGGCTTCCTATCTACTAAATTCAACTACCCCCCCCCCCCAAAAAAAAAACAACCTCAAAGCCAGTCCTTATCATTTAAACATTGATCAAGCTTTCTCATAAATTAACTGTATCTGAGGGCAACCTGTTCCAAAGGCCAACCACCCTGTTTGAAAAATAAAGTTGTCGTAGCTGAAGATGGCATCTACTCTGCCAAAATTTATATTTGTGTTCCCCATTCTCACCATTAACTGTGAGAAAGAAGATACATCAATACTGTCAATTCCCTTAACAATCTTAAACACCTCGATCAGATACCCTCGAACTCTCTTTTTTTCTTTTTTTTCAGAGATTTTGAACATGCCCTCATATGACAACATTTCTGTCCTAGGTGTCATTCTTGTAGTCATCCTCTGAACCCTTTCCAATAATTCAATGTCCTTTCTGAGATAAGGAACCCAAGGGTGAACCAAAATGTGGCCTAACCAAGGAATTATATGATGACATTATAACCTCTTTATACTTCTATTCAATATTTTTGTAAATACAACCTAAAATACTATTTGCCTTACCATTATAAACAGCACATTGCTTGGATGGCTTAAGAGACTGATTAACCAGAACACCAAGATGTTTCTCTTCCATAACACTGTTATGGTTATTCTTATCCAAATTATGTCATAATTCAAATTGTGATATCCCAAGTCATTACCTTACATTTATTATAATTAAAAGCCATTTGTCATTTCTTTTCCTAACTCACCAAATATTACAATTTTTTTTGTAAGGCAGTAGCATCCTCCTCACAGCCAGCAATACCCAAAACATTTTATGTCATCAGAAAGTTTAAATAACCTTTACTATTCCTTCATCTATATTGATGTAAACTAAAAAAAAAGCAAAGGTTCTACCACTGAGCTCTGAGGTACTTCACTTGTGGCATTAATCCAGTTTGACTGAACTCTATTTATAGCAACCTTCTGCTTTCTTCCATCTAGCCAGTTTTCTATCCAATAAGCCAACCTATCTCCATACCTACAGAAATAACTTTTAAAACAAGCCTTTTATGTGGCACCTTGTCAAATGCTTCCTGAAAATTCAGATATGCCAAATCAACAGCTATACCATCCTCTATGTAAATTATAACCTCTTCAGAGAATGTCAAGAGATTAGTAAAGAAAGATTTTCTCCCAGTGAAACTATACAAAGCATCCTTTATAAGTCCTTTAAAAACTTTTCCCATCACTGATGTAAGAATAATAAGTATATAATTACTGAGACAGTTTTTATAAACTCTCTTGAAAGGAGAGTTACTTTGGCCAACTTCCAGTCTTCTTGCATTTGCCCACTATTCAAGGACTTTGAAAAAATAATAGCACGTGGCTGACATATCCAATCATTAACCTCTTTTTCAAGACATTTGGGTAAATATTATCTGGCCTACGTGTTTTATCATTCTGTAAACTTCCCAATTTTTCCATTAAGAAGCTCAGAATTAATGTGATCATTTTGTTGAAGATTGTTTCCATCAAGAAACTAAAAAAATTGAACAGTTGCCAACTTTGATATTTTCCTTGCCTATGTGGTTTTAACTCTATTTGTCCATCTAGCAACTGTTGAGGAATATTGTTTAAATTTTCATTAGTAAAAATTGAAGACAAAATAGAATTTAACCTAGCCATGCCATAATAATAATAATCAGATATTAGCCTCCCAGTATCATCTCTCAAAGGCCTTACTCCTATCCTAACATTTTGTTTACTCATAAGGTATTTGAAGAATTCCTTACTATTTATTTCAGCCAACTATTTTTCATATAGTTTTATGATTTTCTAATTTCTCATATGATCAACTCTCTTGATTTTCTATAGTCCTCCAAATCTCCTATCATTATAGAGAATTTAAACAATTTATATTTATAATGCATTTCTTTAATTTTATCCTTTGTTAGCCAACCTGTTCTTACTTGCAGTCACCCTTTTTCTTTTAAATCTGTAAGGAACATACTATCTTGAATATTTAAGAATTAAAAACTTTTTTCCACATTTGTTCAGTATCTCCAACTAATTCAGTTGGCCAATTCGTAGCACATAAATCTTGTCTTTTCGCAGAATTTGCTTTATTGAAATTTAGAACCAAAATCTTATTCCTTATCTCCATATGGAGTAAACCATCAAATTTAATTGAGCAATGATCACTTGCACCAAAATGTTCCACAACCTCTTTTCTTATCAACCTTTTTTTTTTTTTTTTT